GGGGGTCCGTGCACGTGAGCATGGAGGGGGAGGAGCCTTGTGGTGTGGGTTGGAGGGGGTCCATGCACGTGAATATGAAGGGGGAGGAGGCTTGTGCTGTGGGTTGGAGGGGGGTCCATGCACATGAGCAGGGAGGGGGAGGAGGCTTGTGGTGTGGGTTGGAGGGGGGTCCATGCACGTGAGCAGGGAGGGGGAGGAGCCCTGTGGTGTGGGGAACGTTACCCTGGGCGAGAAGTCTGTAACCAGCCAGAGCTAGGATGGAAATTACTAGTCTTTTCTGTATTGCCAGCTGGTGACATTGCCTGTTTGATGATTAACACCAATGATGGTTTTGATACAGCATGTTAAGAGTCCCCCAGGCACTTTTGATTTAGTTTGACCTGGTGATTTAGTTTGATAAACTATCACATTTTTAATAGTTCATAATAGGCTTGACAATTTTCTTTTCGATCAAAGGTTTATGGATAGATCAATGTTAATTTGTATGTCTGTTTTATACTAAGCCTCTGCTAAAACTCAGGCATTTTTGAATACTAGACAGCTTACTTTTAAAGAAGTCTTTTCACTAGTGAAATAAGTATTCATGATCTAATTTTGAATTACAAGTATGTACCAACACATTCATCTTTGAAAATTAAGAAATTTTCTCCACTTAAATAGCTTTTCTCAATGAAGATAAATTTTATGACTACTCCAATTGCCCTGGGCATCTCTTCATGTGCATCTTTTGTAATGTCCCTTATAATAAACTAGTAAATGTTTTAAAATAAAAAAAAAATGCTGCTGAAACATTTAAGGGATATTTAGCCTAATTTGCTGCTTCAAAGTTTCTTATCACTGTTATTTCAGCTAATTGAGGTACAATGTTAAATAAACACACAGAAAACTCTAATCTTGTAACCTTGCAGGCCAGTTGGTCAAAACTCAAAAATCAGGTCAATGACAAGTGTTTGGGAATGTTAAAAGCTGTACAACTATCCAACACTTTCGTCCTGGATCTATAATTAGTCAAATGTTGACACTCTTTCTTGTGATAAGTTGTAAAAATGAAAGGGAGATAAATTTTTATTTTTGACATTTGTGTTTCAGTGCACACTTATGTGTCACCTCTTCATATGGCTTTTTTTTTCCTTTTTCTTTTTCTTTTTTTTTTGAGACAGAGTCTCACTCTGTCACCCTGGGTATAGTACCATGGCATTACAGCTCACAGTGACCCCAACATCCTGAGCTCAAAGCATTCTTCTGCCTCAGCTTCCTAAGTAGCTGGGACTACAGGCACCTGCCACGACGCCCAGCTAGTTTTTCTATTTTTAGTAGAGACAGGGTCTCACTCTTGCTCAGGCTGGTCTTGAACTCCTGAGCTCAAGCAACCTACCTGCCTCAGCCTCCCAGGGTGCTCAGATTACAGGTGTGCCCAGCCATCTTTTTTCTTTAAATATTTTATTGTACTTGTTTATAAAAAAAAAAGTCAGAAAGTCCAGTGCAGAGAAGGGAGAAAAAAAACAGATATCACAGCTTCCTTTCAAGATGCTCCCTGTGCTTTCTTTGTGACAGCAACAAGGGGTGAGGATCTTCATCATGCTGTACAAAGAGGTGGAACTTGCTCTTGGAATCAACAGCGAGTACAGCAAGAGGACGTTAATGAGTCTGCACCCCAACATAAAGGTACTCAGGTCAATCCTGGTGGCCAGTGTTTTTTCTGTATTATTCTGCAGGAGGTTTTCATGTATGTTTTGCTGTGGACAGTGATAATCTGTAGAATTCCCTTGTGTATTTGCTCAGAAATAAAACAAAATGTTATACAGGATATCCCAAAGGTCACCATCATCACTCATAGGAAAAATTAATATACTACATTATATTTTATGTGTTTTATATTTATATATCAACACGTGGAGAAATATTTCATAAGATTTTGTAAATAAAGGTACAATTAGGTACAATTTCCCATTTTCCTGATGCATCTTTGGGACTCCCTGTATGTTCTCATTAGACTCCCTACATTGATGGGAATTGGCAATCACATTTTTGTTTCTCTGACTCTGATAATTGAAGGTGACAGTTTAGCCAAGAAAACTCTGTTTTAATATTCAAGAGCCTTATGAAGTGCTCACACTTCTCATTAGGGCCATCCTAGAACTTCTTAGATGTGGTCGCTCTGTGACATCCCCATCACTGATAGCAGCAGAAAGATCTTCTGAAGGATTTAAAGTACTTCTTATTTTCCTTGGAAATCAGTAGAACTTAGCATAAAACTTAAAACTTATCAGTAGATATTACCCATTGTGGTAGAAAACTTAATGTATTACTAAATCTTCAGCAAACTTAAAACATGTAACAATTGCATATTTCACTTGGTTAAAAAAAATGAAAATGATTTTCTCCCAGAGAATGAGTTATTGAGTTTCATTATTACTAAACATTATTCATTCACCAATTTTCTATCACATACCTTCCAAGGATATAATTTTGTGACACCCACAACTGAAAGGGGAGAGGATGGAGCAGTGGAAAGAGTGGCGTTTGCATGCTATTGGAGTTAAGCTGGCATAAATTCAAATTGCAGTCTTACAGCTGTGGGATGTTAAAGGTAATATCCATCATACCCACAAAAAGAAATAGCTATAGAATATACACACAAGGAAATGAGAAAAGAATTTAAACATTTCACTATAAAAACATCAACTAAACATAAAAGAAGATAGAAGTACAGGAAATGAGGGACTAAAACAGCTGTAAGGCTTATAGAAAACAAATACCAAAATGATAGTAATAAGTCCCAGCCTATCAGTAATTACTTTAAATGTAAATGGATTGAACTCTCTAATCAAAAGACAGTGATTGGTAGAATGGACTTATTCTTATAAAAACATGAACCCTCTATGTGGTATCTACAAGGGACTTGCCCTAGATGCAAAGACACAAAGTAGGAAGGGAAAGATGGAAGGGATATTCCACATAAGTAGTAACCAAAAGAGAGTAGAAGTGGCTAAACTAATATTAGGCAAAGGAGATTTTAAGGTAAAAAAGATTACAAGAGACAAAGAAGGACATTATGTATTAATAAAAGGTTATATTCCTCAGGAGGATATAAAATTATAAACATTGATGTGCCTAAAAACAGACCATCAAAATACATGAAGTAAAAACTGACAGGATTGAAGGGATAAGAAGATAGTTTCACAGAAACAGTTGGAGACTTCCACACTCCACACTCAATAATGGATAGAACAACCAGACAGAAGGAAATAAAGAATCTGAACATTGGAATAAACAAATTAGACCCAATGGACATGTGCAGGACGTCCTACCCAGTAACGACAAGACACATCACCTTCTCGTGTGCATATGGGGCATTTTCCAGGAAAGACCATCTGTTAGCCTGTAAAATAAGTTCTAATAGATTTTAAAAGGTAGGTATCATACAAATATCTGTCTGAGTATAAAAGGATAAAGTTAAAAACCAGTAACAGAACAAAAACTAGATAATTCACAGATTTGTGGGAATTAACACACTGTTAAACAATGGATCAAAGATAAATCACAAGGAAAATAGCAAATACCTACATCCAAACGAAAATGAAATAATACACCAAAATTTGGCACATCTCAAAAGCAATCCAAAGGGGAGCATTTATAAATATAAATAACTTTGCAACTTTAGAAACTAGAAAAAGAAGAACAAGCTAAGCCTAAGACTAGCAGAAGAAAGGAAATTAGGGGAACTAGAATATCAAGGAAACCAAAGGTCGGTTCTTTGAAAAGATCAACAATTGACAGAAGACTCAAGTTAGCTAAAATCAGGAATGAAAGTGGGGGCAATTACTACCATTTATACAGAAATAAAAAGGATCCTAAGAGATTAAACAGTTGTACAACAACAAATAGACAATCTAAACAGCCCTACAACTAGTAAAGAAACTGATTAGCAATTAAAAATGTCCAATGGAAGAAAAGTCCAGTTGCTGAGAGCTTCACCAGTTAATTCTGCCACACACGAAGGACAGCTGACAACAATCATTCTTAAACTTCTTCAAAACCTGAAGAGGAGGAAAGACTCTCTAACTCATTAAGCATATTCTTGAAAATAGTTAAGGTAGTAAATTTATGTTATGTGTATCTTACCACAATTTAAAAAAGTGTTATTTTAAAAAGTAGTCGCTGAAGTTTTTGTTATTGTTCTACTAAAAGGCATATGAAAATAGAATAGGTCAGCCTAGGGTCATTTGGAGAATTCTATTTGAAAGCAGGAGGTTACTAGCTTCTCAAAGTAACTTTTAAATAAAGAGCTAACAAAAGATCCATATGTCTATATTTGTATGCTTCCTAATTCAACCCAATAGCTGTCAAGATATCAATATATGGCTTGGTGCCTGTGGCTCAAGTGGCTAAGGCGCCAGCCACATACACCTAAGGTGGCGGGTTCGAATCTAGCCTGGACCCACCAAACAACAATGACGGCTGCAACCAAAAAATAGCTGGGCGTTGTGGCGGGCGCCTGTGGTCCCAGCTACTTGGGAGGCTGAGGCAGGAGACTCGCTTGAGCCCAGGAGTTGGAGGTTGCTGTGAGCTATGAAGCCACGGCACTCTACCCAGGGGGACAGCTTGAGGCTCTGTCTCAACAAAAAGAAAGATATCAATATATGACAATTATTTTAAAATTCCCAGAGATAAATATTGGTTAAATACTTTTATAGTTTATTTTTAATACCAAATACAGCACATTCTTTGTAGGAGGAAGAGGAGCCAGCTATGAGATTGAGCTGACTTCCATCTAATGTGTCACCAGACTTCAAGCTAAATGGCACTGCCCCCCAAATGCAGTGTCTGGGTCGTGGTTTTGAGAAGTAAATAGGGGTCTTCCTGTGCTCAGCACTGAGAATAAAGTGAGAAGTTGGGAGATTTTCATTGGTGTACACATTGCACTTTCTGTTATTTGAATTGTAGGAAATGCATTCAGGAGGAAAGCAGACCTGTTTTATTCTGTGAGGAAGGACATTTTTAAAGCATGTGTCACAGTGGGCATTTTCCTTCTCAAGGTGATGAGGCATCCAGACCATGTATCCTCTAGCGTCTATCTGTGGGCTCATCATGAGAAGCTTGTCATCATCGACCAGTCAGTGGCCTTTGTTGGAGGGATTGACCTGGCATATGGGAGGTGGGACGACCACGAGCACAGGCTCACGGACGTGGGCAGCGTGAAGCGGGTCACTTCAGGAGCCCCTTTGGGCTCCCTCCCGGTATGTAAACTTCCTTACATGGGACTGCATGAAATGATCGTAATCTATGTGTGCGGGAGGTATTAGCAGCATGACCAACTGATTGATTGAACAAGAGTTGGTGCCTCCCTGGAGGGAAAGAGCATTGAGTTGAAGGTGAGACAGATCTAGTTCAAACACCAGCTTCACTGCCCAGATCTGGGGCTCAACCCCACTTAGTCTGTTTCTTCTGTTGCAGGAAGAGAAAATAGATCCCATAGGCCATCTGCTATCTCATCGCTCCTCTGTTTTCCATTAAAATTGAAGATTTTCCATTTGAAAGAAAGTTCATAAACAAAATTGTCGTGTGACAATAAAGATTTAGATTAAATAACAGTAAAAAGCTTATTGGAATTAGCTGCCACAGTTTCAGAGGTTTTTGACTTAAAGACATACAAAAACAGCATCCTTCAGTGTGGGGTCATTTAGAGGGAATTCTATTTAAGCAAAATGTGAGTAACTTCTCAAAGTACCTTTAAATTAAGAACTTGTCAGAATGTCTGTGTATCAGTCTGCTTGTTATTTTAATTCAGTGGCTGACAAAATATGAATATAATTACTAAAGACTGTAGGCTCCATTTCATTTACTTCTGGACATGTTGGTGAGTTCTGGGAAAATAGCAATTGAGTGAGTAGATAACAGAGAAAATGATCAGAGAAGAAACACCCTTCACTTAATGTTTATCAGGGAAAGACCTTCCAGGGCTCCACAGTGACTAATTGTATTTGAGATTTGTGTGAAAAGGTTAATTGAAATTGAATGTTAAGAAAGTGCCCATGGTGCCGCTCCTGGTGTTCTTTTGGTAGTGTTTAGGTAGCTCACAGGATCTTCAGACATTCCTGCATGTCTGTCCCAGGGACATCATTTGTAAACATTGATTGTCCCTCTGCTCTGCTTGAATGACAGAAGCACAATGCAGCATATCTTATGCACTTTAAAAAAATTATAATTTTCTCAGGCTGCGACATCAGAGTCTATGGAATCCTTACACCCCAAAGATAAAAATGAACCTAATAAAAGTCTGCCCATCCTGAAGAGTGCTGATGACATAGATTCCAGACTGAAAGGAGCAGGAAAGCCCCGGAAGCCTTCCAGATTCAGCCTCTACAGGCAGCTCTACCAGCGCCACCTGCAGGACACAGACAGTGTCACCAGCATGGACAGCGCCTCCAGTAAGTCACGACTTTCCTGGAACTTGTCTCAGCCATACTCTGCTCCCCCAGAGCCAGACACTGTATGCCTGGTTTGAACCTCTCTCTATAATGAAGTAGCAGGAGCAGGGTTGAAAGGTCTCTGTATCACCCTGTCAAGATCATGCCATGTCATGGCTTTGTTTGCCTGACTTAGAACAGGTTTTATTTTATTTACATAAAACAGTCATAACAACCACAATTCATGTTTCCAGTGGTAGCAGAATGACTCTGAAATATGCCAGCCTGTAAAGGAAAATGAAAAGTATTAGATGTACTTTATAAAATATTTTTAGAGGAAATTTCATGTCTCTTTCCATCAAGCTTATGTCGTTAAATATAAGATTTTCTGCATCTTATAAATTTGCTAGTCTTTTTAAATCTGTCTCTAAAGGCCTTCAACTTTCTGTTGCACAGAGTCTTATGAGTGATTTTATAGTCCTGTCTGGTTGTAAAAATGATCAACTTTGCTTTTCAGTCTAGAAAAGTTGATATATGTATGTATATATATGTATTTCTTGGTTGAAAACAGAACATCTCAATTTCTCCAGGTTATTTTAATCACTGTAGAAGTCATCAGAATTTAATCCATGGTCTAAAACCCCACTTCAGACTCTTTCGCCCTTGCAGTGAGTCTGAGCAGGGGCTTTCTGGACCCAGAGCTGGTAAGTGCTGTGTGAGGTGCAGAGCCTCCGTGAGCTGTAGCTTCTGTCATGTCTGCCACGTGGGTGTAGTGTGTCCAGGCTGTTTTTGTGTTGTGCGGTTTTCATGCCGTTTGTGTGCTGAGAGCCTGCTCTATGCAAAGTTCTGGGTCCTACACCTGACCCCCGCTTCCTGAGAACCTACCCTCCAGCAGTAAAGGTGAAATACACCTGTCACAGAAGAGTGCCCAGTAAGTGCAGCTGCGCAGGGCTGCATGGGACCTGCAGGGGGTGGGGTGGGGAGGACTTCCTCTGAGACTATCACAGCACATGCAGCTGCGCAGTGCTGTGAAGGAGCTGCAGGGGGAGGGCTTCCTCAGAGTCCATGGCGGCACATGCAGCGACTCAGTGCTGCACGGGAGCTGCGGGGGTGGGGGAGGGTGGGGGGGTGGGGCTTCCTCTGAGACCATTCAGAGAGACTTTCAGAGGAAGGCCATTTGGTTGGCCTGGAAGTAACTTGATTGGAATAGGAAGATATTGCAGGTCAAGGAGGCGTGTTGAGCAGAGGTGCTGTGATGGGAAGGTTCCATCTGCTTTGACAGGTTAGAAAACACATCATTCAGCTAAGATATGGTTTTTGATGTGAAACTAGGAAGATACACGACAGTTATATTGGGAGTTAGAACTTTATTTTGTTCAAAATCTGGAAGGCCCTTTAATGGGTGGTATCACACATGCTCTGTGAATCTTCAGTGATTATAATCTAGTAGACTTTTATAAGACGATACTTGAATAAATCAGAGTACAGATTATGGTGAATTAATTAGAGCCCAAAGCCTTATGAAGAAGTATTCTGCAACTGATGAGGCATAGGACAGCATAATCTTCGTAATAAATACTGACTATAGGAAAATTATTCAGTGATGTTTACTGTGTGCAGGCTCTGTCGCTGCCCGAGGGCATGCTATGCTTGGAGTAACACCATCTTCTTACACATGAGGAGTGTGAGAAACTCAGAGATGGTGAGTGACTTGCCAAGTGAAGTTTCAGCTCTTCAGGCTCCAGTACTCAGGATTCAGATATGTGATTCAGGAGGAATACAGGTCACTGCATCATGACCTTTGGCTAGAAACCAAGGCCAAGCTTCTCATGTACTGTTGAGGAAATGAGGGAGTTAGGGTCCAGCTAACATGCCTGTATGTGAGCCACTTGTGGCTAACAGGTGCTAGTAAACCTCGTAAGTTAAGCTGCTTAGTGGTTCCCAGCATTCTTTAGTCTAGGGACCCTGTGTTTTACAAAATGCATTAGTTAACTACAGGTAGTGAATTAAAGCTCTAATGTAACTGTTGTACAAATCTGCATTTTGTACATCATCATGACATTGTTACACATTTTAAGATGAAGAACACATCTGAGGAGACATTGTATTTGTTGGGCAAGTGCTCGATGCATGTGTACATTTGGGGATGGCCTCAGTGATTCCTGTGCTCAGCAGCGCCGTCCTGGGAGCCAGGAAGCCTCTGGGAAGTGCAGAGAGCCAGGTGAGGTTGCACACAGTTGCAGATGTCAGAGGTAAAGGGTTATAAACAGGCACAGAGAGTGCCTTGTAATTCTAGTGTGTGCCTTTGCTGCTTTAGAATTGGAGTTGAGGGGTCCAAATTATGACCGAACACTGCTAACAGTAGGACTAGGCACAAGCAGGAAAAGATGTGAGTTGGGTGCTGAGTATGCTGAGTGACTATGCAGGCTCAGACTCACAGGATGGTACCCAGTTGCTGGAAGATACTGACAGTCATGGTCTTCTGCTGTTGACCAAAAGCATCCTTGACATCTGCTCACAGCCCCTCACTAATGAACTGCAGCACTATTGACAGGCAGAACAAGAGAAATCCTGAATGTCCGTGAGTGAGGAATGGTGTGGGACATAGTGAAGGGTTAATTCCTTTGATAGAATTGAGCAACTATTAAAATCTGTAATTAGGGATATAAAAATAGATGTAGAAGATTTATTTATTTAATAAGATATTCATAGAGATCCCGTGACACTCTGGTCACTCTTCTGGGTGTTAGAGATGTAGCCAGCAAAACAGATGAAATGCAGTTCTCTGGGTGTGGGACAAAGGAGGAACTGTGGGTACAAATAGAAGGTCAGACATGCAGTATGAGTTTTCCCAGAGAACAGCAGCAGGATGCAGAAAGGCAGAGGGGAGGGGTCGCTGTCTTCCAGAGAGCTGTCAGAGAACACTTCTTTAATGGGGTCAGTTTCCAACAGAGATCAAAGGAAGAACTGTCAGGGAGAGGACACCCCAGACAGGACAGTGACTGTACAGGGTATGAGGTGGGAGGTCTGAGTGTGCCCAAGCTGTGGCTGCAGTGAGGGGGTAGGGGCAGATAACAGGAGCAAACCTCGGGGGTGGGCCTGGGCTTGCATGCAGCCTTGTGGACATTGCTAAGAATTTTGTCTTTACATTAGTAGGAAGGCATCAGATGGTCCTGTGCAAAGGGCAGACCAAAGTCTGACTTATATTTCAACAGGACCATCCTTCAGAACAGACCAGGGTGGCAAATGGTGGCCATGCCAGTATTGAATATACTTTGAGGGTCAGGCTGACAGCATTTGCTGATGCTCTGACATGGGGGTGAGAGATGGGGAAGATGCCAAGTCTTTGGCCCCATTGAAAAGGTGGGATTTCTATGAGCTGAAATGGGAAGACTGTGGGAGGAACAGGGAAGAGGAGTTTGAGGATGATTGTCATTATCAGAATATGCATCTGAGAGGCTAATGAAGGGTGATAAGTGATGCTAATTTGTTAGGAAAAGTAGAACTTGAGGTGACTTTTTCCCATATTGTTGGTACTGTTTTCATATTGCTTTTATAGTCAAACATAAATACAAATTTAATTTTTTATTATGAAAAATGTTAATTTACTTTTAAAAAGCCAAATTATGGGATAGTCCTTCTACAGCAGTACTCCCCAAACTCTCTTTCCCAGCCCTGAAGTTTCTGGAAGGCTCTGAGGACACTGAAGTAGGTGGCAGCAAGTCCTTCCCGCTGCTTCATTGCCCACTTCAACCAGAATATTCCCGTTCACATCCTTTGTGTATATTGTAGTTCCTTAGGAATTAGTTTTAAAAAACCATAAAAGGTAAGGTTCTGTAAAAGTAATGAAAGAAGTTTGAAGAACAAGGCTGTATATTTAACTTGTGTCATGACATAAACTCATGTTGCCTTATAAAACTTCAAACCCAAATTAAGCGTGGAGTAGCTCTTCACTGGGAATCTAAGCTGAATATTATCTCGAGCTAATAATTTCCTTTTCCTGTGGATGTGAACAGGATAGTTTGTCTGTGGTGTCAGTGTCACCTGACTGCAGACAGTCATGCTGTCTAGGCTCCTGTAAACCTTCTTTGTGATACACCAACACCAGTGCAGAGTGTGCACATGAGATTACTGTGGTTTCTAAACAAAACTACACTAAAAATGTGGCTAGCAACCATGGTAGACTTTTGTAATATATATTTTAACTCAAAATCACTCAGCTATCATCAAAACTTTTTTTCTTTTTAGAATTATGTAGGAAGAGAGAAAATGTTGGAATGACATTATTTTGCTTATGTTATCTATTTTTAAAGGGTTGAATTTCATTCTTCTTATATTCAGCAATTGTTTGCTGATCTTTTCCCTTTAAGCAATTTAAATAGATAAGTGAGGGGGAAATTATTTTTGCAATTTTAGTTGAGACAGGCTTTTCAAATTTGAATATCTAATCATAAGGGATGAGGAATAGTACATTAAGCCACTTCTAAATTCAGTTCTCAGGGATACAGTGGGATGTATGAGACTCACTTTGTGTTGTCAAAAATCTTATATCTAATGGATGAGCATTAGATTTAAATATTTGACAAGCCAGGTACCTTAATAAGTCATCAAGGGAAAATACTGCTGCTGCCAGGAGTCATCAGTGGAGCCGTTGCCACAGATGTAATACAAGTCCATAGACCCTTATCCACAATTCCAAAATCTGAACAGTTCTGAAAACCAAAAGATTTTTTAAATATAACTCATTGGGGACCTGTATTGGGACTGTCCTTGAACATAGGTGGTAATTTAGTAGGTAGAGACTAAGAAGGGAGAAAAACAGACAGTTCAGGCAGATATTACATCTTAAGGTAGGAATATAGGAAATGCCAAAAGTGTTTATTTCTGCACCTCAGACCTGAGTGTAGAATGCGGTGAGTACACAGAGATCTATAATCTTTTGTACAAAGCCCTTGGGATCAGATGCACTTCAGAAACCAGAAGGTTCTGGATTTTAGAGAGGTAATGCAGGACTCATGCCCTGTTATACTCATCATGTTATATATACTCCCAGAAAGGTCCAGGAGACACCTGGAATGCAAGCAAACCACTTACATTTGTGTAGCACCAAGTGAGATCAGTAAAGATAACAAATCCGTTCTTGTCAACCCAGTCCTCTCGCTGGCAACTGCAGGCAGTAACCTTTATTCATTCCACAGGTGTTTTGCATCCAGTGTGTCTTTGTTACACTCCTCTCTGTGCCTGTGCTGGTCTGTGGTCAGTAGTTCCACTGGTCTTCCCACTTCATTGATTTTGTGGTCAATGTATTTCCCAGTATATAAATTATTTTACTCAAAGTATTTGCCCTTAAGTAAAGTGGTCCTGGCAAGTTCTTTGTGAAATGCTACTGTAGATTGCTGCTTTTGTGCCTGTATCATAAGCTTCTGTCTGTCATTGTTATAATTTTTATGAATATCATTTATGAGGATGGGAATATAGGATGTTAGAGCCCAAAAGAGCTTAGCTGTTGTCTAGGTCACATTCTTCCTTTTACACATGAATTTCTGACCCAAAAAGTTGAATCTCACTGTCACTTAGCTAGTTAGTTCCAGGGCCAGAACATGGACTGTCCTCAATTGAGGTCTTTGCTTTATGAGACATAAAAGACAGAATTATGCATCAGGTGTGCGTTGCGCTGGCTGAGGAAAGAGGAGTAGCATGGGGACTCTGTTGCCTCTGCATGGCAGGCTTCTCCCCTCCCCTGGCTTCCTGCTTCCTCACAGACCTGCCTCATGAGTTCTTTATTCACATTATTCTGTGCTGGTCCTCTAGTGATCTGGTAGGTGGGGAGAATAAGCTGCTCAGCTGCCTTTGAAGGTCAAATTTTATTGTCTGATGGTGAACCTTGTGATAGCCCCAAGCACACACTGAGAATAAATCCATATGAGTCATAAACCCTTGCTAGCCCACAGCCTCTGTCAGAATGGATGGATGCTGCCTTAGGAGTCTGAAGAAAGGGAGAAGTTTTTAGATGTTTAATAAGTGAGAGCTAAGCCTTGCTGTCTGGGGCCCACCTGCTCCACAGCCTCTGAGGGGGTCTGCTGCATTCACAGATACTGGCTCCATCCGTAGTTTACAGACAGGCGTGGGAGAGCTGCATGGGGAGACCAGATTCTGGCACGGAAAGGACTACTGCAATTTCGTCTTCAAAGACTGGGTTCAGCTTGATAAGCCTTTTGCTGGTGAGTAAGATGCTGGTGGCATTTTTCTTTTTCTTTTGTGCATCTCAGCAAGTATGCATGTGTATGATCTAAATGCCTTTTGTTTTACTTTGTTCTTAATTTTGAAAATTTGGTAAAATTTTGGAGACATGATTTAATCATTAGTCTTAAACTTAAGGACCTTTCCTTGTAGTTACAGTAGGAAAAGAACAAAACAGAGCTGAGCTGGTGAAACCTCCAGGTTTCCTATAGGCCAGTGATTTTCAGTGGGTATGCTGTGGTACACTGGTGTGGCATGAGAGGATCATAGGTGTGGTATGACAATTTTTAAAGATCATTAATGAAATGATGGGTATGCTGTGGTACACTGGTGTGGCATGAGGATCGTAGGTGTGGTATGACAATTTTTAAAGATCATTAATGAAATTTTTTTGAAAGAAGTTCAAAGCATAGTAAATATATCCTTTTTTTCACTCTTTTTTTTTGATCAGCATAATTAAGATGTGTTGTGGAAATTTAACTATAGGTTCAGTGTGCCATGAGATTAAAAAAGGTTGAAAGACACTGCTTTAGGCATATTTGGGGGATAATAATATATAATTCTCCAGTATGGAGCCTTTCTTTGATCACCTTAGTTTCTTTCTATCATCTCCGTTTTCCAGCATTGGAAGGGCATATTTTCAGATTATCATTGTGCATAAAATGCCTAAAGAAGATACAGATGGCACTGCCTGCTGCTGTTACAACAGGATGAGGAAATATGTATATAGTGTCAAGTACACAGCCTTCAATAATCTGTACCACTCCTGTCATGCTTTGTCCAGTGATCCTCTAATCTAATTGCAGCAGAAATAGATTTGATGCTTGTTGTTCTACCCAAGCCAAGAAATACACATGGAATAGACAGTGTCATGTTTCCTTTTACAAATCATAGCTGGAGCCAGAGGGCTTCTGTCCCCAGAACAAAGTTAATGACTGATTTTTTCCTGGTGCCCCTGGACAGATTTCATTGACAGGTACTCCACGCCCCGGATGCCGTGGCATGACATTGCCTCTGTAGTCCATGGGAAGGCTGCACGTGACGTGGCACGCCACTTCATCCAGCGCTGGAACTTCACGAAGGTACTGGATGTGGCTTCGATGACTCAGCCCATCGGAAGAGAGGCAGGGCTAGATGGAGGAGGAGTCCTGAGGGGGTATAAGGGGCTTGCTGCCTCAGCCATGCCACCTGACTGCTGTTGGTGGGCATCATCGTCATTGTTACTGGCTGGGCCTCTAAACAAAAAAAAGAAACATCCCTGAACTTTTGCATTACAGACAATTCAGAATGTGGAGGGGTAGACCTCAGGGCCTGTCAGTTTAGTCCTTTTGATGTCTCTTAGTATTGGTTAAGCATATAAGATTCTGTAGCAAACTGTGGCCTCAGCAAGTCATTCGGACTCACTGAGCTTCATGCTCTCATCTTTATGTTGGGAGAGAGCTTTATGTT